AAAATTCTAGTAAAACGTAGCAAAATATTAGGTGCGTAAACTAGTTAATATACGTTTTTTGTCTACCTAATTAGCTTTTTTCAGAAGTCAACGAGTAAACATCAGGCTTCTACTTAGTATTTTTAATAAAAACTTGTTGGTTTAATGTGATTGTTTATCAAGTAAATATTGGTAAGTAGATATCACTTAAATACTTTCGACAAATAAAATTAGGCCAGTCGTTTCTGGCCATACTTAATATTTTGGCATCCAAAATATTAAAATCAAATTATGACATCATCATCACAAACAGCTCAACCTAGCTTCGCTGCAGTACCCAAAATAACACAGAAAAATCTATAACAGCAACATCATGTCCCAGTAGAACTCAAGCCATTGTTATGAACGCTATCCCAGACGTAGTAGTATTTGATAACATAAAGGAAATCGACGAAATTGTACCCCTAAAGAAATAACCTTTGCTTCACGTATTTCTAATCAGCGTGTATGCATCTATTTTTCTTCCGTAACCGTAGTAGATAATCTTCTAAAATATAATTCGACGGTTTCGGTTAGAAATCAAATAATATCTATTCGCAGACTTATCACTCCTGCAAAGAGGCTACTACTTTCTAACGTGTGTCCTTCAATCCTGAATGCAATTATAGAGCAAGCACTTAAAAATAAACTTTGATTACAACTTGATTTCCCTATCTCGCATATCTGTTGTAGTTCTCCGGAAGACGAATATGCTCACATCTTCAGTTTTCGACGCTCAGTCTTTGTGATACCAGATAAAGAATACTTTAACTTAAATACTTCAATTGTAATCGCATATGAAAATACAAATCATAGAATATTTATTCTTTCGGACAAACTAGAACGCTTTTTATGTAAGCAATCTGGACACACTGCAGACTCCTGCCCTAACCCTCAAGAAATATCTAGCAATCCCTCTCCAAATACAACTTATAGCCAAATCCCAACCAATCCTCCTTTATATATTTAATCAATATCCTCAATCTATTTAAATAACCCTCCTACTGACATAACAACCCAAAATGAACAGTCTATAACAAAATTATCTGTCCCTTCTAACTCTAGCATAAAAAGAACTCATTTCACTGACACAAGTCTTGAATCATCTTCTTTACTGGTTACCGCTAGCCCTCTAAACTTAAACTCTAATAACACACCAAACAACAACCTTCGCAACTCGTAAATCAGCTCCCGAAAAGAAAACAAAAACTGATGACAAAGAAATTGGTAAAATAAGTCCATCTGCTCATTCAAGTATTGAACAATTAATTTGTGTGAATCCAGAAAAATTTTCGTTATCAGCAATACAAATATTTGCCTTCCTAGAAAATTCCTTTGGGAGTAGTGATCCTCTCAGAGAAGCTCATAATTTTACCACGAACATTCATTCTCTCCTCGAAGATCTTACACAAATATACCAAACTGTATACCATAAAATTCTATAGACGCTGATAAACTTACCAGCCTTTATCCAATAATTCATGTGACTCTAACTGCAATGATATCGATCTTTTTTAAAATTAATAAATTAGTACAACGTATATTCTTTCTACTAACCAAATAAGTTTTCAAATTCACTATTTTACAATGGAACTGCGACGGATACTATCCGCGCCTTGAACACATGCAATATCTTATATCAATTTACCATCTAAATTTTCTTTGTCTTCAAGAAACTAATTTTAATACAACTAATATTCCTCATCCTAAATCCTGTGAAGGATACCACTTCATTAGAATGAACTGCTTCAGAATGCTACCATTAATAACGAATCTTGAGACAATTGCCATAACTACATATTACCTCAATAAACTTACGATCTGCTCCATATATATTGCCCCAAAATATTCTCTAAAAGAAGAAGAGCTCCTAGACCTTATATTCCAACTTCCACAGCCGTTTATACTCACATAAGACTTCAATGCACATAACAGTATGTGTGGTTCTTTTAATCAACATTTGGACGGGAAAAAGTAGTTGAAAATATTATTAACTGCACAAATTCATGTCTTCTTAACACAGGATCTAATACTCATTTTAATATTTCCTCTGTATCTTTTTCTGTTATAGATCTTAGTATTACTGACCCTAAATCTGCACCTTTTTTAACCTGACAAGACAAACAGCTGACGATCTCTTTGATAGCAATCATTATCCTATAATAATTTCCAACACTTGTAATGAGACTACCTCTGCCAAAAGCTATTGGCGCCTAAATAAAGCTAACTGGCCAGAGTATTCAAAAGCTGTTGACACTCTCTTGCTCACTCATGATCATTTTATAATCAATAATGTATACTATTTGTTAACGTCAATAACAGATACTATTCTTTCAGCTGCTAAGACTCATTTTGGCAAAACATCATTCTCTCAAATCATAAAGCAGTTCCTTGGTAGAACTCTTTTTGTGAAGAGGCGATTCGCCAACCAAAAAAAAAACGCCTTAAATAAGCACCAAAAAAATAGAAGCCTTGAAAATCTAATAAATTACAAAAAATTCAAAGCCAAAGCCAAACACGTAGTTAAAAAAAGTAAAAAATCATCCTGGCAAGATTACGTGTCATTATCAACGAAAACTCCAAACCTAGCCAACTTTGGAAAAAAATACGACAATTTCAAGGTCACAAAACTAATAATAAAATTACAAATTTAAATTTAATTTTAAATGGTATAGAGAGCGCTTCACATGAACTTATTTCTAACGCCTTTGCCAAACATTTTGAGGACAAGTTCAGGAATAAAACCAATAATATTACTTTATCTCATCATAACTAATATTCACACAGAAATCATCTGATATCATCTGAATATAGTAGATCCCGTAATTCTCCTTTCACTATGCATGAGCTGATATCTGCCTTAGCTAATAGCAGAAACACTGCAGCTGGGCCCGATGATATTCCTTATGCATTCCTAAAGCAATTGTCTAATTATTATAGTCAACAATAAACTACTTAATTTATACAATATAATCTGGAATTCTCATAAATTTCCATCTCAATGGAGCAAATCTATTGTTATACTAAAACTCAAGCCAAATTAGCCAACTATTTTTCTACAATCTTACAGGCCCATCTCTCTCACATGCACTGAAATAGCTAATGGAAAAAATGATTAACAAACGTCTTTTATGGTATTTTGACAAACATAAAATTATTCCAAAGGAACAATCTGGCTACCAAAGACAGCGCTTCACAAGAGAACATCTAGTAATCCTTCCAACCCATATCTTCAACGCAGTAAATTACAAGCAAGATTTGATAGCAACTATCTTGCTTGATAGTTGCTTTTCTTCTCTGGGATATACGAGCTTGAAAATACCTCCTATTTCTCCATCTCCAAGCATTTTCTCGACCGTTGCCAGACTTTAAACAGAATTTTTACAGGGTCTGGGTTGTAATTCGGAAACAGTAGATGGCCTTTTTGCCATTAGTCCTCTTTTATTAAAACGTCTTCTAACTGTTTTCTCAATTATATTCACATTTTAAACCTTCCTTAGACGGTTTCTTGCAGCAATTGCAGTGAAATGGCTATTTTTCAAAAGTTTTAGCACAATAAAATGATCATCTCTTTGCGAGGTAACTATTCTATAAACAGAAGCAGGTCAACGCCAGTATATACTAGTCTTTCAGCAATGGAAAGCTCTCCATACTATGGTTCTCGCAATACCTACAGTTTTGGTCAAATAAGCTTGACTTCTTGCATCTTGTAGCAAAGCAATATTTCGAGCAACATCTATTGTAGATAACACCATATCTTAATTATACACTTAGTTGAAATCCACGTTTGAAAAGCTAAGTTACTATTTAATTAAATGTTTTTACCTTAAAGGATATACAGCGACTACATACAACAACAACATAAACGTCAAAACTGTCAAAAACAAGCATACATGATCGTAATAAATATTTAAATTGAAGAAACCTATTTTCAAAATCAAAATCTTACTTCACTAATAAAACGAAAATCACGGCTTTATAGAGCTCTTTTTGTCTGGGCTAGGTCACTCTAATTATTATCAACGCAAAGGATCATTGCAGAAGAGATGATTATAATATAGAAAGTTTCTATCTTACAATGCCTCTTTAAAAATTTATTCTTTATCGTATTAGGTTTGATGATAAGGAAACATATGCAGGGCGATTAAAAATTAACAAACTAGCTTCCATTTATGTGGTCTTTGATTAGTCAAAAAAAAGAGGAAAAATGGTTATATTTATTTAGTATTGGTTACCATGAAATATTTGTTCATAATAGGTCTATCAAAGTAGCGGTGTGTTAGGCCGAAAGTTGCCCTAGTTGAAATCTGTAATCTGTACAACGGGTATCAAATTATAGAAGATGGACCGTGGTAATATTCTATAGACTAAATGGTGGAATATCCAATACTCAGGTGATGTAATATAACAAAAAAATAGGAGAGCAGGTTGTAGCAATCTTACAAGGATGCTCAGACTAATGAAAGTAAGCCAAAAAGGTGAACCACAAAATTAAGAAATTGTATTACTTGCTGGAAGGTAGATCCACTGCGGCTGGAGTAAGATAGAATAAAAAAACTTGTTTTTCTGCTACAAATGCAATGCATTTAGGTATAATAAAGCATATCAAAGATGTATTTTACAACTGTAGGGAACCACAACATTATGTAGCTTTTGTTTTGTTGTAGAAATTTGTTGGGATTATGATTAACATTTTAAATATATTTGTTGCGTTATGTTTTTTTCTATTTTTATTTTCTACGTGAAACCATTATATTTTAAAATTTGTCCTAAGTCATATCTGAGCAAGTTTTGATAGAAAATATATTTCTTTGTTTAGCAAAAATTTACTGAACCATACTTCGAAATCCTGTCAAAATGAATTCATGCAGTGCACGTGCTCTTACTAATTTGCTTTATCTCATCGTATACTTTGCACTTGATGCTGATTATTTGTGTTTTTCTGTTTTTGTTTATTTGTTCTACCATAGATACCACTTAACATTTTAACTTATGTCAATCTAATAATTTTATAATATCTATTTAAATCATATATTATGGACTTTTTTGGTCTTACTTCTTATGGATTCTCCAACCCATTTGCTGATATGGTGAGAGCAGATTACATTGAACCAATCGCACCGCCCAAAAATCCTCTAAAAGCCGAAAGTAAGTTTAAAAAATCTCTTTCCGAAAAAATTAAAGTGTTAGATTGTTATATTGGACACGCTGATGGTTATGCTTATAAATCACATGAACGATTAGAAAAGATGAAAAGAAAATATGTACGTAAGCCCGACGGTCCTATAGATATGTATAATTATCCTGGAACAACATCGATGGAGGTAATAAGTTTAAATCAGATCGTTCATATTAGGATAAAATATTACATTTTAAAGTTTTTTTAATAATATTATTTTTTAACTTAAATTATTCTCTACACTTTGAGTGCTAGATTTAATTAATTTCTCCTTCGGTTTTAGTATAAATATAACAGCTCTACAGGCCCTATAGGCCCGTAGCTTCGATAGTCTCGACCACTCTTTCCACTCTTCGGACATTCAGTTCTTTCCAGACTTTTCTTGCAATTTCTTTTATGTCAGTACGAATCGCATCAAACCACTTCCTTTGAGGTCCCCTGTTATTTTATTTTCTTATTCTCCCGCTTGCAGAACTCTTGGAAAGTTTCTTTCTTTTATCATTCGTAAAACATGTCCCAACCATCTAAATTTTAGTGTCCTAATTTTTTGTGTTATTTTGGGTCTCTTATAAATCACCATTAGTTCCTGGTTTATTTTTCTGCATCATTCTCCGCCAGTTTCCTTTTTTAAAGAATTTCTTCTCCCAAATCTTTACCTTTTTTTTCTTTCTGATTTATTGTCCAAGTTTTACATGTACATAATACTGTTGTCTTACTATTGTTTCATAAGTTTGAATCCTGAATGCACTGGACACGTGTTGATTTAAATACAAGTTATGATTTTTGAGGATGCAGTCAGTTTATTTGGCCCACAAGACAAAGAAAACTCTTTGACTTACTCTCAAGCTTTCGAATTTTATTTAATTCTTTTTCAAGGCATCTATAAAAAGAAATATAAATTAACTAGTTAAAATTGTTAATTGTCTTACTCACTAGTCGTGAGATTACAGCTGTCAATATTGTACTCTACAAAACAAACCATTATAAATATATTAAATTTTTTTTTATTAAAAATAACTATATTGTCACTATATATGTCATTGTCATGGTTTGATTAATGGACATATATGAATGAAAATACAGTTATTTTATGTGGAAAGCAAAACCAGTAACAAATAACTTGTCTGAATTCTCCTGACCTCAAGAGATAATAAGATATAATGCATTCCATCGATGAAAACACAGAAGACCAAAACAGCAAATTCTGACAAACACATAAAATCTAGATAATACTTAGCTCTACCAACAGAAGAAGCCCCAGCACGCAGCATTGAAAATTTTATTATTTGATGTTTCTTCTCAGGCTGTGACTATTAAAAAAATAAAAGAAACTAACAAAAAGGCGACAGCCATCAAAAAAAAAATTAACAGAACCCCAAAACCTGGGCACCAAGGACCCACATCCTCGGACACCGAGTCGCCAAACTGGGCGCAGCCCGTAAGGGAGACTCGAGACCTAAGCAAGCAATTTCAGTTCGATAATATGTCACTAGAGAAAGCAGCAAAATAGCGCGCCACGATAGCCTGCATTGACCGGTTAGGATATCATGTTGGAGTTGTTATAACCAGGACTTCCACGCAAAAAGCATTTTTCTATTAGTTGTGCCCCTATCGCGCATCAGAGTGCTGTATGGGGGAAAGGTATGGCGGTACGATGGATGCGATGGAGCATTGGAATGCGGTAGAGTGACTCCTGTTTTTCATTCGAGTTTATACACCTCACTTCAATGAAATGTGAACATCTCTCACAGGCTGAGTTTACTTAAATTATTTGCTTGCTTGCAATACCAATAAAGACGCCACGGTAAATAAAGTTGGAAAAGTGAAGTAGAAGCATAAGAAAAAACATTGATAAACGTTAGAACTTGGGGTTGAGCGGTAAGAGACTATTAATACCAGATTAGCAAATATTAGAGAAGATTAAAGCTCAATTTGGACTCTAGCACCAAAGAAGGACGAAAATTGTTAACGAATATTTTCCTTCAAATTAAAGTGGGGCCTACTTAAATAATTTTTTCCTTCTTTTTGGGCCTACAAATTGCTTACCTTGGTAAAATTAGTCAAATTTTTGTCCAATTTTTTACTTATCTTTTATAGCGCAGTTACCTTACTATTACTTTTATTCCAGTATTTCTAAGATTTAAAAATTATCAAGATTTACATTTATCTAGTTATATTAAGAAATCGTCCAATAATTTCACTAAAAAATTACAATTTTTTAATTTATAGATAGGATGGTGGCAAACAGATACAACTTTGGATTCCGAAACATGGCACAAGGAAAAACGATATCCAAGTACAAAATCTGAATTAAGTAGATACGTCGAAATATGTATGAAAAAGGACAAAGCATTTAGACCAACTGCATACTAATTAATTTGGTATTATTCAAGATACGAACCATTCAAATACCAAAGCACTATTAAACATTTTACTTAATATTTTTTGTTTACAAATAATGAAATGGTTTAATAAATGAACGTATTTTGAATATTAATATTAGCTTATAAGACTTTATGCCTATTAGATGATTTATATGGTCTACCCCTAACTTAATTCCAATTTAAATAGAATTTTAAACTTAGACATAATAAACAACCACATGCATATATTGACCATTACTGAATTTTGTCCCAGCTTGCATCAATTACACCTCAATGTTAACATCAACGAGATGCACAAGTGCATATTTAAATATTTGTCGAAAAATCAGTTATACTCAAAAGAACTTCATGCTGATTTAGCACTAACATTAGGGGACTGTGTATTTTATTTCAGTTAATTCATGAATGTCAGTGTCTCGTTTTACGTTTTAAATCTTGACAAAGACAAGGGTTTCCTGCCGAAAACTAACATACTGTTTAATAACATAGGTAGAAGAGGGTTTATTAGGTTGTCACCTAGTTGACTGGATTTATACCACTTAGACTTTTAGTTGTGGAATTATTGAAAAATCAAACTGTATATAAATAGGCCAAATAAGATCGAAGAGCTAAAACAATATATAAGAGCAGAAGTTTTAAACATTACTCCTAATATGATTCAGAATGTCAGTGATAGATCTCAATATCGAAGTGACCACTATCAAAGAGTTAATGGTGGTCATTTAAATATTTGGTTTAATGAAATGCCTTTTCTCGTCCTTGTGTATTATAAAGGATTTCCTTCATTATTTCATAAAGTAATTAGAGAAGAATAGCTGCTAAACTCTGTACCGTTGAATTTGTCTCTAAAAAACTATTCTTTTTTTTAATCATAGTGTCTTTAAAAAAAAGTCGTTGAAGTAATACCTTCTATAAATATAATAGAAAAAAATACAGTGAGCAACAAAACAATGACAATTTGCAAAAAAAAATCGATTAGTTTTTTTGTTTCTCCATACTCTCTCACGAATACCGAAATTTGTTACTATCATAGTATTATTGATAAAGTATTACATAACTATTTCTAATACGGTGTCCATATACGTGCTCTGATTGTGTACCCCTCTACAATACGTCACGTGGATTTGTGTTACAAAGGCGGTCACGTGCTCTTACTGACCAATACTATTTTAAAAATGCAGACAAGTTGCTGATTTTTTTTCAATCGAATTATTTATTCTTTCCATATTATTAACAAGACACGAATATCTAGTCAGCCTGCTAGGCGTTTGTTATACAGATTGAACGAAATAAATTCGGAACATAGGAATATAATGTATTTCGGCTCAATTCTGCTGTAGCTGGTTGGCCAACAAAAGATTGTCAAATAATTATATTATAAAAAATCCCATACTTCAGCGTGCTGCTGGATTCTGAACTCATAAAAATTGAAAGCTACACATAAATCTACGATTTTATTATGCTGTCAAACCAGTTATAGTCCAGGAAATGTAGCATTTCACCTCGCAATTTTTTCCTGCGGCGTGGATTGACTTGAAATTTAACAGAAGGTAGGTAATAGCCGAAAGATCAAAATCTATATCGAACCAAAGTGCACCAAAGCCTAGGGGGTGGTTGCCACCCCATCTCCGGGGTGAAAATTTTTTTTACGTTTTAACTACAGGTTTCGATTAGAAAAGTGATTCTAAACAAAAAATGTGCTATACATTTTTTTTATAGAATGAAATTTTTCACGTTATTCGCGATTGAAAGTAACAACTTTTAGACGAAAAAATCCACGTTTTTAATCGATTTTTCGCGAATAACTCAAAAATGGTGCATTTTATCAAAAAAATTGTAGAGAACAAATTTATAGCTTTTAAAAAGACAAATACAATTACAAATACAATATCAATGTTCAGCGGTTTTCTTCAAATGCCAAATTTGAAAGATTCAAAGTCAAATATCGGGAAAATGATGCATTTTTGGAAGAAAACTCACAAAACCTTTTTTAAAGAGCATAAATAGACCTATCATAAAAAAATAAGATCAATACCTCATTTTTTACGAAAAAATCGAGGAAAACAACACCCTAACCATCCCCATAATTAAAATCGTCTTCACCCTTCTGCAATTCCCTTTGTAGATGTATTGTTAATACGTCCAAGTAGTTTGACCCATTAAAAATGCTTAGTTTTAGAAAAAGTACAGCTTAAAGCGAGAAACGATTTACAATTTCATATTTTTTACCCTTCTTTTTTAAATATGCCCGAAAATACTGAATATATGAAAAAAATAAAAATTACCAAATTGTAGCTTTTTTAATGACTAAAATTACACTTTATTTAGATTTGTTGTACAATGAATATTTGGCGAGATATAGCCGTTCAAAGCATCGATTTACGATCAAGCACCATCTTTTTCGAGCCCTTTAAACTCACCCCATTTAAAAACCAAGGGTTCCAAAAAGATTTAATTTACAGATCCTTGTAGCTAATAAAAACCTCTACAAATCGTTTTTGAAGAAACACTCTATCGGTAAAAATTAAAGGATATACGTTAAAAAACCAGTTAATTTTTTTCCGGAAAATTCCATTAGTATAGTACAGTACATTTCGGAGCATATTAATCTACAAACCCGGTATATTAGGTAGTGGGGCGTTATACATTCGAAATTTTAAGCGTTCTTATTTTGAAATCCCATACAACAGAATAAAACATCTGCTCATATGTCTATGGCTTGGCAATGTAAATATCAGAGCAACAGATTGGGGATGGTATTCCAAAGATGGTTTGTTATTACCCGTACGCATGAACAAACAACCTGCACCCGATAAATTTTTGAAAATTATTTTTTGCCAATGCAAAAAAAGATGCGGCGTTTCATATGGGTGCAGAAAAGTTGGTTTATACTGTAACTCTACTTGTTCTGGGTGCTCAGGTGAAGGGTGCAATAACAGTCCACCAATAATTGAGGAAGATGAGGATGACATATATCACGATGAAGATGTAATTGATGACGAATAAAATTAATATTATAATTGTTTTACCTATAAATGTAAATATTTTCAACTATTTATGTAAATGTATAAGAATATATGCCTTTTTATGTTGATAATTTTTTTGTATTTAATTCTACTTTTTTCAATTTATATTTTATAAATTAGTTTATAAAAACTGCAATGTTGTAAAGGGTGATTTTCAAAAGTTGAGAAGTTGCAAAATTTTGGCAAAAAAATTGTTTTCACCTATAGCACTCATAACAATTGATTTTTAAGGGTTGAAAATATATGAATTTGTATTTTAAAGTATAAAAAACTCACTATTTAACTAATCCAAACTAAATTTCACTCATCTTAAGATTTGTAATATTATTTTACAATTTTTTAAAATTAAGGGTAGTTTTCACCCCTAAGAACAATCAGGGTTCATCGGCATGACATAAACTATAAAGCAGAGGGTGAGTTGAGCTTAATTCCAAATTTTTATGCAAATTGTTCCAAAGTGAAATCATTTTCTTCGCATTACTAATTTTTTTATATTAGTCTCTAATAAGGGTCGTTTTTTAAGGGTTGAAATATGATGGAACTTTGTTCAAAAGCATGAAACTATCATTATTTAATTAATTCAAACCAAATTTTACCCATATTCAGGTTTAATATGTTATTTTATAATTTTTGACAATTAGGGGTAGTTCTCACCCCTAAGAACAATCAGGGTTCGTCGACATGACATAAACTATAAAGCAGCGGGTGAATTGAGCTTAAATCCAAATTTTTATCCAAATCGATCCAAGGCGAAATCATTTTTTTAGAATTAGTAATTTTTTACATTAATCTCTAACAAGGGTTGCTTTTTAAGGGTTGAAATATGATGGAACTCTACTCAAAAGTATAAAATAATCATTATTTAACTAATTCAAATCAAATCTTACCCATATTCAGGTTTAATATGTTATTTTATAATTTTTGACAATTAGGGGTAGTTTTCACCCCTAAAACCCTTCAGCGCACTTCGGTTCGATATAGATTTTGATCCTCGGGCTATTACCTACCTTCTGCTAAAATTTCAACTGGATACATGCAGGACGAAAAAATTGTGAGGTTTTAACTTTTTTCGAGCTTCATTTCCTGAACTATGATCGCCTCCTTAGACAAACCCGTCTTACGCAAACAACTTTGTTGCGAGACAGATAGTTGAACGATATTTTATACAATGTCTTTACCCAGGTATGGATTTATTTTTGTCCAAGTTTTATATTGGTCCACTATTTTAAATGCAGTTTACACAGACATGTATTAAATTGTATGTTCCGTTTTAATTTGGTTCAATATGTATTTATAAATTGATGTTAGAATGCATTATCCGATAGCAATAATTATTATAATTATTAGTTCAAATTTAGTTTTTGATAGTTTGTATTTATATTTTTGCTATAGACTGGTCCTTTTTAAAATCATAGATATCCTTCTATTTCCATGGAAAAATGAGTCTTAAAAAATCTTAAAATATTATAAATAAAGTATAAATGGTGACTATAATTTCTAATGTTTACTACGGGCACCGCCCGTTAAAAAGAAGAAGCTTATAGTTTGTTTTACTATTCTGTTTGGCTTTTTGGTTGAAATTTTAATAAAACTTAAAGCAAAAGTTCCACTCTTAAAATTATAAAATATAGGGCAAAAGATTAGGAAGAAGGCTCCAGAACTCATGTCTGAAAGACCTGAGAAGATAATTTATTTGCTCATCCGCAGTAATTTGTGCAGCAGTTTCTTAAGATACAATTGTCAATTGGATTTACCAACTTTGGAAAGAAGATGGCGCAATGAGAAAAAGAATATTAAAAATCTTACTGCCTAAATATTTAAATAGGGAAGAATAACATAATACATTTGTTGATTACAAAAAAGCCTTGACAAAGTACCGAATTGACTATCGGTATCTACATATAACTAAACACATATACAAAAACGCAACAGCTCGTGTGCCCGATACATGGAGTACGCCAGGGGACGTCATATCACCGAAACTGTTTACTACGCTGTTGGAATTTATATGTAAAAGAGATACACTGAGCGATAAGGGCATAAACATAAATGGAAGAAAAGCTTAGCCACCTGAGGTTTGCAGATGATATTGTGCTAATAGCTGATAGCATAGATGGGACCAAAAACTTTTGGATCAGCACTACCTTTCCTTGTCAGCAAAGTAATTAAAAATAAAT